ACCCTAACGAAAATGACCAGAATTACTTTGTCGGTGAAATGACTGTCGGTGAAATAACTGTCGGTGAAATAAACTTGCCGGCGAAATGAGCACCACCCCAAAAAATGATGGTCTGCCGTAAAATGTTTATAAATTGAGATGATAAACTTACGTATTATTTTTTTTACTAGTAAAAAGATATTATTACGTAATAAACTTTATTAAAACTACAATGTTTATTTAAATATAATGCACATTTGACCCTTTTAGAATATTTCCGCTAAGTATAATTTATTCACTGACGGAAATCATAAAGTATTTAGGATAATAAACATGAAAGCCGAAAGTACAATATTTATTTGATTTTATTATATTGTTATGAGTTGATTATCAGATAACTTGTCCAATAGAGCAACATACACAAAAATGGCTTAAAAATGATTGCATTGGTATTGGTCCTCCTACCAAATTGAAGTTTTTTTTTTAAAAAAAAATATATGTATTAATATTACTCCATATTTACAATTGAATAGATTTAGTAAAAATTTCGTATGTCCAATTTCAATACAAATAGACGTACAATATCTTTACTTATACTTACTAAAGCAGCAGGATTTGTATACTTTCCAAGGCGAAATACTGTGGCCAATTTTTGCCTTAACAAATTCGGATCCATCAATTCCTCGCGAGTAACTTTTATTGTAATAACTGGAAGATAACTGGGCTTCATTATTATGTTTCTAGATCCTATAAGTTTTGTTGTACGGTTTGCATTAGTAAAGCTAGATTTTTTAAAAAAATTTATAAATATTAATTTATATATACCAGTGTTAAAGTCCATAAGTTGATGTCTCTCAAGAGATAACTTGAATTAAAGCAGATCATTCCATCTCTATAAAAAGTAAGACCCTCAAAACGTTTAGCTGTGTTACAATTATTGCAGCAAGAGGTAAATCTTAAGATGCATTTTAATTATAATGAGTGGATATTATAGACTTTGATACGTATTTTATAACTTGCTTATGACCAAAAAGCTCACATTTATAACAAAATAATCAGATCTCATATTTAGTATAATTAATAAAACTGATTATTAATAAATTGATTTGGGCTTATGCTATGTTTATCCTACAATCTACATCGTTTTAATGATAATTCTAATTCAAGCAATTTTTGCTTATCAAAAAGAAATGTTCATTTTTAGATAATGAGCAAATATTTGAGATTTGCGTCATTTAGCCATTTGAAAGAAACTGAATTATTTTCACTGTAAAAAAAATTCATGCTATATATATAAAGTTTAATATGGCAATGTTTATTACTAATTTACTAATTGAATTTCTAAATTAATATTAATTTGTTACTTTGTTAGCACTTGATAATTTTTCTGTGATTTTCGTTATTCTTATCATCTTTGATTGTTTATGTAACGTGATCTTTTTATTTGGTATTTTTATTTGGTATTTTTTGTATTACGTCACACTGCCTAGAAAAGTAATTTTTACTCCTGCCATTTGATTTTTAAGGTCTATATTTCGAATAGAGTTTCTTAATTTCCAGCTTCAGCTACGACAATAACTTACAAACCAAACAGCAAAGCCGCTGTGTTATCATATTGTAGTTCTGTAGGTAAAAAAAATTGTCAGTGGAATGATCATGATAAAATAAACATTTAGATAAGTGATTTTCAGTGAAATAGCATGACCTAAAATCATTAATTTGTAAGTTTTCATATAAAAATTATTACCTTCGAATATTTGCTTGCACTAGAGCAAATCCAGCGTTACCAACAATCGAGGGCGCAGTCACGTGATGACCCGACCTCCTGACCTCATCTATCTATTGTTGGGTTCGGAAGATTGCGACTCGGTCGCTCCAAAATTCAAAACCTCGTGTAACGTACGACAAGTAACCTTTTCG